CGAAAAGTGCGTAGCTCCTAATGTCGCTGATGGCGCTCATTTTGAATGCACTCTTTATTACGAATTACACACAAAACACGTTTATTGAATATATTTTAATGGCTATATGTGTCTTTTAAACACCACTTACTAAAACAATAATACTTGCACAACCGTAATGTTCGATTGAATTTATACACACCTAAATGAATAGAACGACGACGCGAAAGCGACTGACTTACAAGGAGAAGGGGTATGTCACACATGCCATATGACACACCGAACTATTCCGAATCAAGTCGAAAATAATCGAAGCAACTCAATGTGATCTATAATCGATATATTCTTAATTTCTTCTAGTATTTGATTTTTTAGAAATGTTGAAAATGTTATTGATAGTTTAAGGTTGTACATTAGCGTTTATTTGTTTCTTTTTACAGAAATAACATAACATTTAAAAATTTATATGTATATATGTATGGTTACTAAAATTAATTTGACATAGTAGGCAACTTAAACATATAAATACATTATTAGAATCTAATCCTCGAAATTAATATTCATATTTTACATCGTTTACAAACATAACACATTTAAATTTTCTATTTTAAAAATGGAAAAAACAATATATATCTCACTTTTTTAACAACACGACAAATCACTTTATATCTTTCCTTACATATGTTAATTAAATAATTTACAGAATTTCCACGCTCAGCGTACATAATTTTTTATATTTAAAGTATCCATCTAAAAGAATTATAAAGCAGCAACTGATCACTAAAACATTACTTTTCTACAGCAACATGCTTTAAGGGCTAATTTATAATAAATATTTTTTTGCACTTTTGTTACATGATTAAGTCTTCAATTACTATACTATTTCTACTGATTCTTTCGATTTGGAAGACTTCGATTTGTTTTATTCTATTTTATGGTAATAATTTCTTATTATTTTTGAATTTCCTTTTATATTTTGTTTATTGGACAAAAGCAACGCTTTTGAAGGTGATTTTGTGGCGTCAGGGACGATGTTGGACGACTCTCCAATTTCTGGTCTTCCTTTGTTTACTTTCAAGGAAATAATTTTCAATCTTTTCGCTCCATGTTTTACGATTGCTGTTTCTTCAGAGGACAATGTCAATTTTGAGAATTTGTTTGTTGTTAATTTTTTATTTGCATATTGAATATCTCTCATTTCTGAAGAATCGTTGATACATCCAAAACAAGTATTTTTCAAGCTGTTTTCTGAAGTTTTTAAAAATGATTTTACGATATTTTTTGGTCCAATCACAGGAATTTTCGGACTGCTTTCGATATTATTAACACATTGATTTTTTAGCGGTCTACGAGTTACAGATTGTCGAGTCTTTTTATTATTTTTTATTCTTTTCACTGCGGTATAAAGAGACGTAGTACGACGAATAATGCATGGCTTTTTTACAAAATTCGTTTCATTTTTCATTGAGTTTTTTAATGCAACAGATGAGTTACTTATTTGAGATTCAATTTCTTTTAAATTATAAGAATCTGAGGGTATGATATTATTATCATCCTGTGAATAAAAGCGCAAATAAGAAAATAAATACAATATAATAAACATTATATATTAAATAATTTGTGAGAGAGAGATTGATTTTCTCTTACTTTTTTTCAATCGTTTGCCCCAACAAGTTTATGATTATATTAGAGTAAGGAAAGGTAGGCAAATAATACTTCTTGAATAGTGATGGATTGAGGACACAAACAAATATTTAGTATTATTGATAAAACAATGACAGTTCATTCAACATTTTCATTTGATTTTTGATTGAAAACCTAATCCACATAGTAATTTTTAAATGAAATGTTTAATATATTAAAAACACATAAATTGTAATAATTAATATGATACTTGGGACTAAGGATTACCAGGAATAAAATAAAAATAAGGTAAATAAATTATTGCTAAAAATACTATAGATTTATTAAAACAATGGGACATGTATGTGTATTCATGTGTGTGTGTACACATGTGTGTAAAATAGGATACATTATAAAACTTGTATACATGAATTTATACATAACACTCCCTTCAATCAGTAACGACATTTACATTCAATTAATAGAAAGCATGACAATAAATATTGTATAAGTCTTTCTATGCTCCTCAAGTGAAGCAATGTTATTTATCTACTTTTAATAATAACTTTATATATGATAGTATAACATACATCCATATTTATGTTTTAATAGGTACATGTATTTTAAATCTTTTTCTTTAAATAGCAAAGAAATACATAAAACAGTCAATTCTATCACTTTAAGCTGTATGAGCAGTAAATAAAAAATTTGCAATTATTGCAATTATTGCCATTCATTTTGTTAGTTATGAAATAAAATACAAGTTTTTATTAATTTTAATACCAAATTCTATTTTGAAAATCTGCTAAAAATGACTCCATCAGCCAGAGATTTATGGTGAATCATCTAAACTGCTATGTTCTGCTTTTTTGCTAAAGAAATAGACATCATTAATTACACATGTGTGTATTTCTTATTACTATGCTGATCCATGAAATAATTCTTAAGTGCATGTACTACTACTGTAAGTGTACTTATCTATTGTCACCAGAAGCATAGTGCGTTAAAAATGGTCTAAAGAAAATAAAAAAAGAATGTATTTTTTTGCTAAAAGTATAAGCATTAACAGTGAATATTTTATATTCTATTACTTAGTTTTAATCTAAAACAATAAAAAAAATTGTACAGTCTTGAATTATAAAAACACTACTAAGCAGTAAAAAAACCATGTATATACATAATATATATTTGTTAATATAATAAACGCAACTTCTGAATTGTAAAAAATTGCATTTTATACACACTTGTAATTACGATTAAATTACATAATAAATTTATAAAAAAGAGTAGACAAACAGTTTTTTCATAAACCTTTATATAAAAGTATACCAAATATTATTGTCATGCATACATATGTATTAGATTGGAAGACCCATTAGTTCAACATAATACAAATTTTACAAGATTTATATTAGTCGCATATTTAAAATGTATTAAATATCTAATACATTACTATCATAAAAATTTATCATTTACAATATCGTAATATTATAAAATAAGAACAAATCCAACCTATAGTAAGAAATTCATAGTTTCACACTATTAAATTAAAATAATATACAATTTGTATGTATACAAAATCTCTCTCCCACATTTTTAACAAACAATAGAGTGTGCAATTTTTTGAGGCACTAATGTGTCTTGGTATTAATATATGAAACCATACCAAGTTAATGGTATTATGAATTAAGAGAGTACACACCGTCTTATATTAACAGCGGAAAATTCACTCTCATTATTTACATCAAAATTTACCTTATGCAGAGATTTGCCGTTAGGCGAGGATAGATTGTTCACATATGCTAATTTTAAATAAGACTTTACACCTCTTAAAGAGCGGTATTGGCTATTTGGCAGTCGACTGTTAGGATTATTATTTGTAAGGTCAAGAATTGAAGGACCTAATGCTGCTCCAACCTGTAAAAATAGTCAAATAGGTCGTGGTTACTTATTTAATAAAAAATTTTGGATAAAAAATAGTGAAACACTTCACCGCTTCAAAAACTGCTGGAGTATACTTTGGTGGAAGAAACATATGAGTCACAGTTTTGTTTACACCATCACGAATTCTCCCAGGTAATGTATTTACCAGACGTCCAGAATTATAGTTACACTCGAGCGTATAACTACGTACTAGTCCAGTAAGTTTATATACAGCTACTCGACCAGATCCTTCTCTTGACATACCATCTCTTTTATCTCTACAAAAATAAATCTTTTGCATGAAATATATTAATTAAGTAATTTATTACTTTAATAATAGTAATAAGACATACATAATATACATATTTCTTTCCGTAAAATTACATGAAGTAAAATGGAAATTTGGATTGTTAATAGACATTAATTTCGGTAGAAGCATACATGTTATTGTGTCTTCTACATTATCAAAGTAATTTCCATACATGAAAACACCTTTCTTAGAGGCATGACCATGAAGATCAATATACAGATACAATCCAGAGTCTTCTTTAGGTAACTGTCCTATGCCAACAGCTGAATAAGTTTTTTTATCAGATTTAAGTTCTACAGAATTATTACTTTCTTCTGATTTATTACACAGGCCTTCTCCACCACCTTCACATAACGTGAATAATTAAATAAAAGAATTTTGCTGATCACGTTCAATAATTCAAGTCTAAATATCATACCCTGAGGCATGTCATCCAAATTCGTTTTTGATAATGCGCATTCCTGAAAAATTTCCTGTTGATCTTTACGTTTTTCATCTAAAGTCATAAGTGTTACCTATTGTTAAAATAGTTAGTTAGTGCTTACTTTCTTTACATATGGATTAGTATATGTTAATATTTACATGCAAAAATATTAATATTTGAAAAATACTAATTCTTTAAATAAAAATTAGTGAAACTGCATTTTCTGTTACCTGTTGAAGTAATCTTGTTGTGGTGTCACGTACTATGTTTGCAATTGCGCAAGAAGAATCAATAATAGTTAAAGTATTTTCACCATTTCCTAAACACATACTTGAAATCTCATCCTCTTTTGGCAACTGGTACGTATGATGATAATACCTTAACAATGATACCATTCATCAATTTCATTTTCATTGTAACACTTGAATATTAAACTAATAATGCCTTTTTTACCTTATTAAATTTCTTGCAGCATATATTGTTGGATGATCCTTTAAAGAAGGATTGAGATATACCCTATTGAGATTTATTCCTCTAGTATCCATTCGATAATGACCTCTGACTACACCATCGGGATTGAGCATTGGTATCAATTTGAACACATAAAGGCGGCGAAGATTAATTGCAATGTGATCTTCACGATTTACAAGGAAATTAAGGAAACCATTAAAAACAAAACTAGATGGTGTTTCTCCTGGATGGACCCTTGCACTAATGAAAATTATCTAAGAATTTTAATATAAAAGTACTTATTTTATATATATGCAATTTTAATTCTGTTATTTTGATATAAAATTCAAAACAAATTATGTACTTTCTTATCCCAAAATTTAAAAGGTCTTTCCTCATTTTTTTCAGGAAACATGTTATTCAGTCTATCTTCTCTCTCTGTTGATATGTTATGAAATGAACTTATTGTTAATAGATCCATTCTTCGTCCCTCCAAAGATTTGATTGCACATTCTCTGTTATAATAGACATCATCAACAGATGTTATATTTCGCTTTGAGATTCTTGTTTCGATTCTTTTTAAATAATTTTGTAGATCCGTGTAAGAGAAAGGATAAGTGAATGCAAAGTATGTTATAGCTTTCGAATTTTCAGGAGTAACATAAACGAATGACAATGTAAAATCACTTCCTTTTTGATCCAACTGAAATATTATAAATTTATGTAGAGCCTTAAGGATATAAAAAATCATTGTTGTATTTAATATATCTAAAGATTACAGTGTAAGTAGGTCTATCACGTATCCGTTCCCAATGCAGATGACCAGGTATAATTTTAAAAACTGGACACATTCCTTGACTAAACATTTTAACTTGTTTATTCAAATTAACTATATTGAATTTAACATAGGCTCCTGGAGTACTAGCTTTAACACCAAAATAAAACCATGTTCTATTGTTGTTTTGAAATTGTGTTCCATGACAATCATGTTTTGTCCATAAGTTAAATTCATAATCTGTTGTGTCTTCGGAGTTTGAGCTTTTACATGATTTATTTTCTGTTTCACAACCATCTAAAGGCAATTAAATACAAAATTATCAATTATATGCTAATGCAGAGCATAAAAAGGTACAGAACATCAAAAAATGAATATTACCCTTCTCAAAAGTTTCTGGCACTTTTACCAATTCAACTTTTGCTAAATTAGCTGAATCAAAATTATTATAAAACGAAAAACCCCCACATGTAATAGAATCACCTGCATTTGCCATAATGTGTCAAAAGGTTATAAGGTTGTCTGTAAAATACTTGTATGAAATGTATTACTCGTTCATGAAGAACATTATATTGTGAAAGGTGTAAAAATTTGTAATTATATTTTCACTTTCTCTGATATTAAGAGCAATTTTCTTCATTCATAGCGTTACTTTCATATTAAAAAAAGTCATGTTTGACAGCTATCTTGAAATCGTTACGATTTCTAGTTAGTTTGCCCTTTATATTACGAAACAATTAATATATTTTAGAATCAAGATAAACACCCTTTTACATTTATTTTTGCTCAAATGATATGCAATATATTACATTCACGCAATATTTCCATCAATACCATTGTTGTACCTAATGCAAACATGTTTATGACTTCATTATAGCTTCTCATATATCGAACCGATCATTAATTGTGACAGAATGTCGGATGTCACCAATTTTCAATTATTTTAAACTCCTCTTGACACACTTAATGTAATGTTAGTAAAGTTTCCTTCCTTGTTTGTTAGATTACATTCGAAGTCACTACGAAAATCTCGCTAACTTTTTAAAATATTACTTTATCGTGAAAAACTCAAACCTATTGTTCTATTACGTGTTATATAACTTCATTTTTTTAATACTTTTTTATATTATCTATACCTGAGTCGAAAGAAAATTACCAAGAATATATGGAATAACAAGGAATTGATATCACAGAATATATTGGATGACAATTTAATTCAAATAGAAATAATTACACTTTAATCCAATGAGATACTATTTATAATAAAACTGTGCCAATCAATGAATACATAGCTTTCTTATATTTCTTATTCTTTATTATAGTCAGTATGATTTGGCACAACACTCCAATTATTACGTACTCATGTAGACCCGTTAAATTATAAGGCGCGAACAGAAATGTCCAATCAAGTATCACCATTGAACATTTCATAAGAAACTGTGAACGATGTTTTAGATTGCTAAAATTCTTTTTTTATAATTTATCACTTTTTATATCTTATTATATACATTAATACCGATAATATATTCAACGATAAAAATAAAAATGTTAAAAATTTCAGAAACTCAACATACAAGTTCTTGATACGTAGTTGTATCGACAGATAGCGCAATCTATCTTCTGTAGTAACACTGTGGATAACCACTAAGTCAACAAGGGTCGATTCCAAACATTTCAGTGTTTCAACCATTTCTACTACGTATCGAATGTGTTAAACTACAAAATTTACGTTATTATTTTTGTAATTAAGAAACGGAGCTAAAGAAGAAAGATAATGTTGATAATTTGGTCATTTATGAATTATGAGTAATATTCAAAGTGTGTTTCACAATATAATAATAGTTTTCATCGATATATTTTATTCTAATTTCACATTCTTTGATACTTGAGTGCTATTTGCATTTACAAAGTGTTTCCTGTATGTGACAATTAGGAAAACAACGACTTTTTATCGTATAGTCAACATATCGAAATTCTTAGTGTAGTACGATACTTCAGCGTGCAGACGATGCGCCTACTGTCAATGGCTTGTGCCAGACCGTGTTACGCACACATACGAATTTGTTATAGATGTGATTGTACCCACACCCATGCAAAATCTCATATCATAAGAAGTAGGAGCACACTGTAGCGTGGCTCAGACCGTGCTTCACAGTAGCTGAGAGCATCACGGAGCGAGCTAGTGACATTCTGATTACTTTCCATTTTGTGTCCAATCTTATTAACTTACGTGGCGGGTATTCGACGACTTAAACAACATGTGCGGTGAGTAAACGATGCTTTCTACTTTACGTTTCTCGTTTTAATCTATTCCTTGTATGGGTCGATTGTATCGATATATCGTTCGAGAAAATTTCTACGGTGAAAGTGTATAACCATATAATTCTAGTAAAAAGTCCAATTGACAGATCATTTGAGTGCAGCATAAGATTTCGTTCTACGTAAACGCGCCACCGGCGTGATTCTTCCGGTGCTCTAGTCAACTCAACATCTGGCACATCTAATTTTCGCATTTGCTCATGTAAACGTTGTTCAAAGGCAGCAAATTAAAGGTTGTTGATATATCTACTAATTTTAAACACATAGTGAATCGAAATATCAAAACGCGATATATTTCGCGCGTTTTAGATTTTTCGTTTCTAAAAGAAAGAAACCGATATACGTAGTGGAATTTCGTTTTGTTTTATTTCATTTTTACAAAAGAATTTGTGTGGGACGAAAAGTTCTGTAGGTATTACAAAATACATATATACTTTTAATACATGTCCCGATTTAGTGAATTATAACGTTGATGTACTTTTATCAAAGTTATGAAGCGAATAAACATCTATTTTAACAAAGAATTTTTATCGCATAATAGGAATTTTTATTGCTTTTATCTGCATAATACGTTAGCATATAGAACTTCAATCGATTGCCAAGATCTATTGTCGCATTTTTATACCAATACCAATTCCAAGGCCGGTCCAAAATTTTTTTCTGATAAGCGGAATGGAAGAACCGCAATTGGTAAGATAACATCATTAAATAGAAATGGTATAACAATATAAAGAATTTTAAAATATGTTGGAATCTGATGATAATTTAGAATAAATGTTATCATATTGGATAAAGTAACAGGTTAAATAAAAGTCCGGAGTAAAAGTGAATAGAATATCCTATACTAAAATACGATCTTATGTCGACGAACAAATACATAGATTTTCATGGTCCTTGATAAGCGTTTTGGGAATGCGCGCTGCATTGCCATTCACCTCGATGGAGGAAATTAACGGTCCACCTTTTTACTCGTGGTAACCTTGGGGATACCAATGTTTCACTGCTTTCTTTCTACAAATCTGCCTCAAGGAAATTCGTGCAACAACTGAACAGTTTTAGAAAAGGAGAGAAAATTCACTAGGATACCTTAATTTTGGTAAAAATAATTTTGAAAACACAAGAAAGGTAAAAATGAAAAGAAAGATTAATTTTATCTTTTACTATTTTCTGTTACCTTTTACATTACACATTAACGATTGTTTATAAATGTTAATGATATTAGTTACACATAACCAATGTTTACTTTCTGGAAACGCTTACGACATTGGAATTCATTTTCCCCGAGCTGTAAGAAGCGACCTACCGAAAATTTGACGTCAATTGCACATTGTGAAGAGGAAAGACATAGGACAAGAGTTACGAAAGCTTTTTGCATCACTCTTCCATCGTGTAATACGTTGTTCCTCTTGATTGCTTACGCTGTGGCGAAAGTCAGCCTCTTGGATCCCGATTCGAAGAAAGGGAATTCGACATGCCTGTATATACTTAGCGCTCTTTCCTCGTTAAGTAACGTTAAAAAAGTAGCCAGTCGTCAATTAACCTAAACGCAGTCTTAATTAAAAGAGAACAAACAGTTATTCTAATTCGCGTTAATCTAACGAGAGCAATTATCATTTCCACAAACAGAGATAAACAGAGTTGTTGTATTTCTGCGAATCGATGTTCACGAGCGTTAGGTTAATGCAATTTCAAAACTGCCGATGGAAATTTTGTTATTCTCTAAATAATTTCGGCTTTTTTGTAATTATTATTCAAACCGTGCCCTGAGAGCAATGCAGGCGTGATAGAAGCTCTAATTGCGCGTCTTTGGTATACGTAAGCTTGTACGTACGCCTCGTAGATCCAATTGCGAATGTTTAATATAATTAATTAACCTTCTTGATACGCCGTAGAAACGCGAAGATGCCTTTTGACTCTGACTATAGACTCTCGATGAATATAGTTCCCAGGCCTTTGACTAATTTTAAGCAGGTCGTACGTTTCGTCGACGCTGCCAGGTAATATCGTTCTCCAGGCACGAACGCATTTTCCAGATACAGCTCCTACATTTCCATTTTCCCTAGAACGATTAAGAGCTGTGTTCGTACCTGGTCAACGACCTCGGTGTTTACGTCCTGGCGCTTAATATCCCACGAACACCGGGAAAATCTGCATATGCGAGTACCTGTATTGGTAAAACTATGAAAGAATAGTTGCACTCTTCGTCAACACGATGGTTATAGAATCAACACGTCGATACTCTCAGAAGCTTAATCCGTTTAATCGCTGCAACGAATTAATGGAAAGAAGACCACAATGTTCATGGGTGATTAGCTTTCATTGAATCGTCGCGTTGCGTTGAGATTGCATTGGAAGGGAGACTGCGAAACGAGAGAAACGCTGAGAGAATTGTCGCAGAAGGAGAAAGAGTCTTCTCGATTACGAAATTGCGAAATCACCTGGTCGCCGATTGACATCGACACTTTGCAGGTAGAGATAGGTGCGACCAGAAATGAGAGATCTTACGGCCAATTAGAATTCGAATAACTATTTAACATATATTGTACTCTGTAATTCTTTATTTTGAAAAATTTAAAAGACCTTGATTTGTAAATCGAGAAACTCTTTGAAAGAAGGGTAGTTCTCGACATAGCTGCTTCTCTCAAATATCGCATTTTTATACTCTATTCTTTATCACTTCCGTATTCTACATAAAATACAAAGTTTATGCAATATCGATTGCACAGACTCGTCACCAGTACAGCTCGTTTGCAAATAAAAGAATTTCAACTATGGATATCTCGAAACGTTATTTTGGCAGACAGGTCTCTCTTGCAAGGAGTTTCTCGATCGTGGAACCTCATGAAATTCTAAATTGGCCCCAAAGCCGTTAATGGTTCCAGACGGTAATGATCACCCTTGATTAGTCCTAATGGAATTCTGCGTTCTACGAAAAGTCACGAAACTCAGACTTTCGAGCTTCCTCAAACTAATCTGCCTAATCGTCTCGCCGTCTATTCAGTTTCGTCGGCGTAGTTACAAAATGCGCGTTTCAAAACTGCATTCCACCAAATTACGGAAGCATATAGTCGCGGCGTTACGTTCTAGCAGGTAACAGGACTGCCGTAGAGTGTCGCAACGAGACAACGTGACTCAACGAGCATTCGTGTCCGCAACACGCTCTTCAAAGTTCATCGAAAGTTTATCGGAACAAAATGGTCCACGTTTACATAGCCCGTGGTATATCCTTACGATACTTCGCCGACACCCGTGCTCTTATGTACAATAGCGTCTAATCGAACCCGGCTATCGACACTGACACCGGTGCCGATGTGCCCGCGACCAACAGCGAGTGAAAGTTCCCTCGTGGCGAACCTGACGCCGGCGTGAGAGGGTGCAGCGTTTTACAGGACAGTTACATGTGACATTTAGATGCGGCCTCGTGTACCTACGCTGCACAGCACACAGACGAGATTATACACACTGTCATGACATACATTATCCCTCAGAAATTGCGAGTTGGGCTTAAATACGAATAACACGTGTTAAATACGATTTTTCGCACAATTCGTTGTATCGAACGAACGACGACAGATGGAATAATTGTACGATTGTAAAGAAGACGTAAGGTAAACCGCATGTCGCAATTTCGTAAAGTCTCGATTCAGTTTTCAACAATTTTCAGAATTTTAAATGACGAGATCTAAGAAATGAAAATACGAAGTCTAATTTGGATTGGGAAGCAGCTGGAAGAGGGACACGCGCGTAAAAATGCCATTTAAAATCTTTCATTAGTATCTGTTTCTTAACAAGAATGTCTTAGAAACTTTTCGCAAGGTTTCGAATTGTTTAAGTATTTATTTTCTAGCGATATTAATATCTATAATTTGTATTTCTATTTAAATTTGTAAATACTTGAATCAGAAAGTAATGACAGATGTTATCGTGTAAAGGCAAGGTATTATTTGAACGAGCTTGTAATACAGTTTTTTGACACGATTTCTTAGAAGCCTTAAGTTATTTATTCATGTTATTCTTATTGGCTTATTAACCTCGTATCACATCTTTGTTACCATTCGAATTGGGAAATCGTAGAAAGTTTGTTATTCTGTTTAGTCGGAGCTACTTTAAACACAATTCGGGTGTGTATTTCAGGTCGAGATAACGTAATAAACCTGCTTGATCCACTCAAGGACGGGGTCTTATTATAAAACGACATCCAAGAATCGGTACATTTTTCAAGGTCCGATTGCTCTGCTCATACATTGCTAGCATTTTACATTCATTTTTCTCTCTGTTATCACGGCGTAATATTCTTTCACTGATAATTTCTTGAAAATCGACTGATAATAGCTTCTTCCAGGATGAGTATGATGCATTCCAACGATAGGATAGGTTATGTTACAGGTAACGAATATGACAAAACCGAATGCTGTTCGATTGATCAACGCTTTGTATAACGGGATAGCGTAATCGGCATTTTTAAATCGCTACGATCGCTAATTTCCGGCTAATAGCGTGTACGCGCGAAACAGACGAGTTTCTCCTTATCCTCGAACATGTAGGATTTCACGAGTCCTTTCTCCATGCGACACCAGTTTACCTTTTCCTTCCTCACGAAATTCAAACACGTGACCTCGCTACGAAGCAGAACCTGATTTTTGTTTACGTCCATGGAATTCTAAGAGCAAAATTTCTTTGGCTCACGACGAAAATAACCCGTTTTGCTCGTGCAGGAATTCGTTTATGGTTCCTCTTTCTCTGCTTTGGTCCACTGGTTTCCCTTTCACCCATTTGTCTCTTTTTCCATTTGTTTCTTTCGGTTCCACTGGTGAACAACTGCACTACGAATTGCTTTTTCAAACATTTTATTACACCGATTTAAGCGATACGGCTTTACCTCGAAGGCGAACACCTTTACTTTTCGATTGCGAAATTCGCATTTCGCGTAGTCGGAACCATGTTGTTACTTTGTTACAGCCAACCTTAATTGTGTCGATAATGCAGAAGAAAAAAGCAAGAGGATCTGTAAAAATCGATTCGACGAGATTAGCGATGAAAGTCGGAGTAAGTCGAATAGAAAATGTGAAAGACAACGACGAAGCAGTCTCGTTCCAATTGCGGTTGCAACGAAAGATGGAACCTAGGAAAGAATCAGCTGTATCACGTGTCGAGGGATCACGCACGACTCCAAGGTCTATGGAAATCAAGAGGATCGTATTAGAATCGCTTGTGTACCGTTAGCATGACCACCAGGTGATCTCTCGCCGATTTCCTGGGCTAATAGGGTCGTTTCGTGTCAGTAGGTCGAAGAAGACCAGGCACAGGTTGCATCGTGATTATTCGTTCGCATATTCCAGTCGTTCGATTCTCTTCGCGTATATCAAGCGCATCATAATTAGTTCTCAAGCTGGAATCGTCGTTCCTTACAGAGGAAATGAAAGAAAAAGTTCACTGATATCTGAAAATAGCTAAGAGTAGATCGAACGAGTCTAAATTTATAATTGTTATCAATCGCTTATCAACAGATTCGATCTGATAAATTATTAAAAATTGAATTTCCCCTGTAGTGATTATTTAGTAATTTCGCTTATCTCGAGCGTCACGTAACAATTATAAGAAAAAATATCAACTCGTGAAGTTTCAACAAATGAAGTTAAAAGCAAACGGAATAGGCTATTGATTACAGAAGATAAATCGCTGAGGCGAGATAATTGGGATTGTGTTTATCATAGCGGAAATGCCTTTTTCCTAGATCATAAGTTTCCTTTCAACTACTTTTGCTTTAATTTTACAGATTCGATAAGATGCTTCTATCGGAAAATCCGTTTATCGACGATTGCAGAATACAATCTAATCGTGACGTGGCCGTTCGATTGTCTAGTATCGGGTTGACACGAAATCGAATTACACTTACAAGCCAGTGCATTATACGCTCGCGATTCTCTTTTCTAAAGTTCATCCATGGTGACAGTTCTTCGACTGGTGATACCTTTTCCCGCTTTACGCCGTCTTTGGCTGTTTCTTCACGTTAACGATGGGTGGTATGTTCAGTGATCAAGTCATCCCAATTGCATGCTTCTCTTTGGTAATCTCTTATCTTTATGTTTTTGAACATTAGATTTGACGAGCTTTCGTTTCCTCCTAGTGTCGGTTCGTGTTAAATCTTCAATTTTTCTCTCGTTCTATCCCGCTTTTATCCTATCTGGTTGTCACAAAGAGGCATAGACGTTGTTATTTTTATGGTCATTATAAGGTTCTGCAACTGAAAGAAGTTGAAAAGAGAAACGTAACTAGCGTAAGCAGTCGATTATGGTAGATAGAAATGGAAAACTTTATTTTCAAAGGTTCAGTATGGTGTTCGTCGAATTAGTTATATCGTAACGACACGTAAGTTGCAGGACATTTATTAGCCGTCGTAAACTTTATCACGGGCGTGATATATATCTCGTTCTTCGATAATCATCATCGGAAGTGGTAAAATCGGCGTGTATCGATTTGTATCAATTCAGATAAAGGATTTACAATACCTGTTCATTTATTTAAATACCCCGGAACGATCGATTTTTGTTCTCGAAGAGATAGAATCTCACGAATCTTGTTCTATCTAAGATCCCGTCACATTATGGGTATAGGATTTCCTTGATTTTATCCGTACTTTTAATGGCCATTAAATATTATTTTTATCCAGTCCTATTAATATAATTATAGCAATATTAATTATAATAATTGACAATAATTGACGATAACTGATAATAATTAGTACGTAATACCGATTATAATAATAATCAAGTGTTTTGTTTAAAATTATGAGAACTAATGTCGTACTATAAAAATAAAATAATTTTAGGAACGAATATCAAACGATCAGAAAAAGATAACTATCTTTTTATTATATTGATGAAAGCTATATTTACTGTTTGCGAAGAGACCTTTTACGCTCATGAATAACTATCGAAATATACCACATCTGTCATTATACACATATTATGAAACTTGTCGATGTGGATTTGTATATGCACTCATAAATAGAAAGATAGCACACGCATGCTGTCTTTAATTGCACACATTGTAGTAATGAATGATATATACAAATATGAAGCCGCAAGTTATATTTACCAGATTTCAGCAAATTCTGTGTAAAGAAATATAAATACACACTTAGATGAGTAGATAAAATGGTATCACTCCATGAATGAACATATATTTCATAATGAATATGAACAAAATATAATTTTATATGCTCTTAATAATGTGTATAATCGCTCTTATTTTCTACAACTTCGATCACGTTTTTAAGTAAAAATTTATATAACTTTTCAATCTATAATCGTGGTAAAGTATTCCTGTTTTGTACACCTTTTTAAATTTCTAGTATTTCTGAATAATTATGCGATAATAGCTTCTAATAGTTTCCAATTATGTTGACCACTTTAAAATACGATTATTTTTTTCTGTGGAGTGCTTTTAAACAATTTTTGTTGCGTGACCAGCAGTATTATTTTGTAATATCTTGCAATTCATAAATATTAATTTTATTTTTTATTAGTTGAACATAATTCATAAAGTTCATTCATTTTGAATAAAGTGTATATTAATTTTCTCTTTGTAGCTAATTTTTGCCCATACCATAATCTGATTATTCTAATTTTTTTCACATATATTATGATAATAATGTAAGTATCCATAAGGGTCATTCAAATTGAACTTTCCTTTTCCTCAAATGTACATATACATATGTTCTTTTGTGAGTAAGAGGCATTCTTGCACGTGTGTTGATTGTACGCGTGGCTTTCTCTTAACCTTTCATCTAGTTTTATTGCAACATGTTTTCTTTCGGATAAGAATTAGAAGCAGTATGTCTAATCGTTTGTCGTTGGTAGTGCAGTTTGCTATCTCAGACATCGACATCTTTAAGCAGGTTATACATAACCTCTTTGTTGCAATTGATTTCTTTTGCAATTTTTATATTTCTAGACTTCTACTTTCTTCAACATAATATAAAAATAATTTTTGCAAATTCATTTCCTGTTAACCTCTTGCCAGGACCTATTGCAAAAATTTAGAAATTTAGTAATTCGGTTACCTTAACTTCTCGAGAATTGAATAAAAGCTGAAGGAAATATCAGCAAAGTTTGTCTGTGCTATTTTGTATTTATTCGCTCGTATATCGATGTTTCGTCACGCAGAATTTGCTGAAGTCAAGTGGAAATAAGTAACGGTTTCATAATCATATAATGTAATGTTTACACACTATTCACATTATTCAAATTGTCATAAATAGACCGAGAGAAGTAAAAGATAACACACGTGTATATACCTATATGGTAAACGTGTGTACGTTAATTTCTATCTGCTTGAACATCGAATCTAATCCACCATTCCATGAAACCAAATCGTGAAAAACGATTATCGAGTTGATCACGCCAATCCCTTTCTAAATCGATGACGTTGTCATCGTTTCAAACTCGATACTCTTAAATTCCCGCGCTAAGACGGCGCGCGCATAGAATTGCATATCGACCGATCGAATCGCGGATCATATGTCCGTTAATGTAACGCCGTACAATGTTGCTGCTGCTATTGGTCAGAATCGATTCGTGATCGAACGCATATTCGACACACGTTACTCTACCGTGAACGACAAAGCACAGGATGGACGTACAGAGGATTCACCATTGCCGAACGAATGTAAAGGTTCTAACGAACATTTCGTTCGATCACACGTACGTGAGCTTTCCCTTTCACCTATGCGTATGTATCGTGAATTATACCTGTTTTCACGCGCACGCCTCTTCTCCATGTGTAGGTTCGTTCACGGGCGACGACTTTTTGCATTTTTGCAATGCCGCACCAGGGACCTCGAACAGGGACCTCCGTTGTATCGATACGTGTGCTCCTTCGAGGCGGGGCTATCGGAATTTTGAGTCGATTCGAAAGTTTCGAATCGAGTTGTTCGCTTGGGCGATTAAAGCGTCAAGAAAGCATGAAAGAATGTGGATGTCCATACGTTTCTTGGAATTTATCGGATGGTCCATTAAAATGGCTGACGAATTTGGTTACGAATTTAGTTACGAATTTGAGAAAAGTAATTATTCCTCATTTATTGGAAATGCTCATCTTGGAAAAATAGCTATGAGAATAATTTCGCGTAACTATTTATATCTCTGGTCGATATTATGATGTCTTCTGTTGCTTATATAGGCATGAAATTTTATTAGAAACCTCACGAGGTTAGATTACTTTGAGGATCATTATCGAGGTGATTTGGGGTTATGCGAAGAATTCATCGAATACATACATGTTGCAGCACCGAGGCGAAGAGAACAACTGGTTAATATATCGAATCGTTTCCGCATTTTATCGTCGCGACGACCTTCAAGCAGTGAAGGTGCAAGCAAAAAAGTTGGAAGGAGTAGAGAAAATGCCATATCTTTGAATACATTGAAAGTTTATCGCTTTCTTTCTCGTAGAGAGAGGTTGGTAATGGAAATTAGTAGAAAGGGTAATTAATCGCCTGATACGTTACGCGATTATTAAATAACGCATTCCAATGACTAACTTCGATATGGATTATACGAAGAAACGAAGATTTAAAATATTTACGGAATTTTTTTTATATAACGAAAATTTATTCCATAGAAAAATTAATTTTATCTCTTTCCTTTTGTTCAGGAATATTCGCGTATGTCAACTATTTAACGCCAAAGAGCAGAAAGGAAATCCTCGAGTTACTGGTTGGTGGCTTAAAGAGATTGGAGTATCGAGGCTATGATTCGGCCGGTAAGAATGAATCATCGATCGAAATCATTATCGAAAATCTTCTTTTGGGAAATGATATCGGGAAAAGTACCGAGGAGGTTGCGTTTTAAATAGATTCGACTTTTGCGTTCCTGGAAATAGAAAGCTAATCAAATTCAACAAAAATGTTTCATGTCCTTTCAGGTGTCGCCCTTGATAGCGCCGATGAGAAGAACACCTTGATTATTAAAAAACAGGGAAAGGTCAAGGCTCTCGAGGAGGAGATATTTTATCGTAAGTGTATGATACGACATCACTTTCTATTTAAATTAACGCAACATATCTTAATGTAATAAATGGAAAATTTATTTAAAGATAAAGTGAAATATGATTCATTATTTTTTAGGTACTAATATTGATTTTGAATCGAAGACCTACAGCCATGTGGGTATTGCCCATACTCGTTGGGCGACTCATGGTGTCCCATCAGAAGTCAACTCGCACCCTCAAAGATCAGATAGAGAAGATGCCTTCGTTGTAGTGCATAATGGTGAGAATATCGTTTAATTTTTTATAATTAATAGAAATTGTCTCGCCGTTTTGTGAAGTCACGTTTTCTATAAAGGTATTGTGACAAACTACAAGGAAGTAAAGACATTGCTTCAGCAAAGGGGCTACACCTTTGAGAGTGAAACCGACACGGAAGTAATCGCCAAACTCATCTATCATCTTTGGGAACAGCAACACGGTCTTTCGTTTCGCGAGTTGGTCGAGCAAGTTGTCCAACAATTGGTGAGTATTATCGCCAATAACTAGTTGATTAGATGGTAGACTACCATTCATGATTCTTTGAATGACTGCAGACCTTATCGCTTTCTAATGGGAGTAATAACGTCATCATTATTGATAATTGTACAAATAATACTAGAGATAAGATAAGAGAAGACTTTTGTCTCTCAAAAAATTCCATGTAATACATATTTGTAATAAAAAAAATAAAATTCCAGGAAGGTGCATTTGCTCTTTGCTTCAAGAGCAAATATTTTCGGGGTCAATGCGTAGCGACGAGGAGAGGATCGCCACTTCTCGTGGGTATTAAAACAAAAACGAGATTGGCTACCGACCATGTACCCATCCTGTATGGAAAAGGTAAGTCGACGAACGTGTTTCAATGCAGCGATTTACACGCGTTTTGATTGAAATATTAGCGTATTACGGAGAAAGGTACGGAGATTTGTTTAAACTGTAGAAGAGATCACAAGGCTATCTTTGGTCGCTCGGGCGCCGAGGGCTATGATTTAAAGTGCTGTCGATAGCATTGGTATGAGCACTGGAAATATGTGCTCTTTATAAATTTTTATTATTTCTAAAGAGAAGGTGAATAAGTATTCAGAATCTTTCTTGAATAGTTAGATAATAATTATCCTTCTTTTTCTCCTTGCAAGAAGATTGCTATATAGTAAAACTACGGTGGAAATATTATTACGATAACTAATGGTCTCTTTATGTGTCAACTGTAAGGATTAAATGTGAGGTATATTAATAGCATGTATCTTCAATCTATAACTTGTCTATTCTTTTAAGTAATTAACGTGTATCTCGAAGCAACATACTAAGTCGCATCATTTCATCATCATCTTTTTTTGTTTCTTTTGTGTTTTTTAATAGCGATACTGATTTATGTTAAATATTTGACACAGACTGTTATTTAATAACAACGATTAACAAACAAATGACACTAATGTCAAAGTATCTTGTTTACGCTAAAAGTATCTTGTAAGAAGTATTTAACATGGAATTGAATACTAGATTTTGTTTCTTAGCTGCTTAAAACGAGCAACCAGTGTTTTATTTTTAGACGTTACAGTAGAACTTTGGTTATCCGAAATAAGTTCCTTTTGATTGGCATTGTTGAAATGAGTATTTGTACTGCATTTATAGCATAGTTTAGTTCGTATCGAGAAAACATGCATATAAATGTACATATCAAATACATACATTTTTTTCTTTTTCATGGTAGTTATAGTTTGGATACTCGGTGTTGCATTCTATTATATTTTATTATACCTTAGCACATTGTTAGTATGAGGTAGCATGTTGTTTTGTAAAATAGTGCTGTTTATACTTGTTCATTAAAATTATATTTGTTATTTGTTCCCTTAAACGCCGACGAAACAGTCGCTGCATGTATACTTTCTCGGTGATGACGTTTTATATAGATACTATATGATGTTTCTTTTGCATGAACACCAATGGTTATATTCTCCAACTTTTCGTCTCAACAGATGAACCTCCACGCGTAAACAAAGGTATATACACTACTCTACACTACTCTACACTTATCTTACTTCTTTCTCAACGCTGGACCTTCTATTTTACTGTTATTCAGAAATTTTTGTCACAAGATATTTTCATTCAAAGTATTCATACAAAGATACAAACATACGTACGAAGATTCTGTAAAAGGTCCATTGTGTGAGAAATGCATGCAAATTAATTTCGCTTTTTATTTCTGAAATGTGTTTTACGAATACTTTTTGCGACATTATTTTACAAGCTATCATGTTTACACATATAATTTACTCTTTAATAAAATCTCCTGTATTCGAGTGTTTCATTTCTTCTTTCTAACAAAAATAATATTGGCTTTCGTCTATTCGCTCGATTCATATTGTACAGATTATTGGCTCTGTTCTAAAAAAGAAAAAAACTTTTAAAGGAACACTAAAAATTTGTGCTATTCGTATATTAATCATTAAACTGCTTCGAAACATAGCAAAAGATAGTAAAACAAAAAGTTCATTCTCATAAAAAATATAATTAGTCTTATCTTGCAACACACACAAATAGAATTTATTTGTTTCCAAGTCCTCGGCAGAACCACATGCATTTGTAGCTTTGTGACTATACATGTTCAATCTCATATCAAAATTTGCGAAAAGATGTTCAACATACCTTTTCAAATATCTTTCAACGAAAATATCTCGTCGCAATAAAACTTTGAAAATAATGAAATATATATACCAAACATCTTTTCTCAAATTTCCCATACATGCTAGATTTCGTTATACGATTCAATTATAAAGTTATTGTATCTAGCGTGTGCATCACGTGTTTTCCTATTTATTTTCACGTTCGTCACTGTATTTTGTATTGATGTTATTACTGCGTTACTTGTTTGCTAATTATTTTGTTCTTTTTTTCGTCATCCCCTGCATCCAAATTTGAGCAGAAGGTGAAACACCTACCAAAGGTAAGACTTTACAATTAGTCATATATATATATATATATATATACATATAGTCATATATGTCTCTTTTTCTTCCTGCTTGCCGTTGATTCATTCATAGCCACGCTTTAAAAACACGCTGTGTGTTAGTCTTGTATATAAGCACGAACCGCTGGGATCGGATCGCAACATGCTATCTTGTGGAATTTACGGAAGTGGCACGTGTCTTACTTCGCTTTTCAGTACGTATACAAAATGCGTTTTTCTTTCAGTATGGAGGCAGATCGTCAAACGAGTAGAATAAATATACGTATAATATACACACACACAGACAACACGCACACACACACACATATATATATCGAAGACAACATTTGAACAGAACTTCTTCTTCTTTTTTTTCTTTAACCATCTATTAAAAAAATTCTTTTCGTGTTCCATTAGGCTGCCCTTCAGTTTTTCCTTTTTTTCTTTTTTTTCTCTTTTGATTATCTACTGAGCCGTCTGGGGGTTGTTTAATGCCAGTCGTCATTTTTAATAAGGCCGCATCTTATACACGTTAACAATTGTACATTTCCAATCGCTTTGTTACTACAATCACTACGGTATTGTTACGAGTTATGCCACTTTTGTTATCGTCGCTCCACCAACATTTATTTACTGAATGTTGTTCGTTAATTAGCGGAATACTGGATAATTAATGACGTTGCTGTTAACGCGAACTGATTTATACGTATTACTTATCACGTTCCCGGCTAATTTGGTGTGGGGCTTATAAAAACAAGAAAATAGCACTACGCAAGCGATCATGCATATTTCTTAATGCTGTTTACCATTAATGGTGCGTAGTGCTATTTTTGGTGTATCAGCCACGCCTCTTATCCAAAGAGTCTGAGTTTCATATACAAATACGAAGTTTCGCGTATTAATTCGAAATTCTTTGAATTAAATTTCGTATACCGTCGACTATTAATAATTATAGAAAGATGAGGTATACCATATTGGATTCTCGGATTGATAAAATGTATATATGATATAAATAATGGATCTATGTATGCGTGGTAGCAGTGCAAAGAAATTAATTTTTGCTTTTTAACAGATCACCGCCCACATGGCCGTAACCCAGAACTTCCGGTGATACCACGCAGCGAGAGCACTTCCGAGTTCCAGCCTTTGGAGGACAAAGAAGTCGAATATTTCTTTGCTTCTGACGCCAGTGCTGTAATCGAACACACGAATCGCGTTATATTCCTGGAGGTACATATTTATTTTTGCTTATTAGTTAATTTCGTTTGAACGTCACGATATAAGTACCATTAAATTTTTCCAACTTTAGGACGATGACGTGGCAGTCGTGAAAAACGGTGCTCTCAGCATTCATAGACTTCGCCGATGCATGGACGACCCTCATGCAAGAGAAATTACCATCCTGAAGATGGAAATCCAGCAGATCATGAAAGGCAATTATGAATATTTCATGCAGAAGGAGATCTTTGAACAGCCGGAATCGGTGGTGAACACTATGAGAGGACGTCTCAATTTCCGAGATAACTCTGTAACCCTAGGAGGTATTAAGGTCAGTTTGCAATAATTTAAGGTTTTTACAATTCCTTCTTTTTGAGAAGGATTGGGTTTAATAAATCTGTAATTAGGATTACATTCCTGAGATCAAGAGATGTCGGCGTTTGATGCTTATTGGTTGTGGAACAAGCTATCATTCTGCTATTGCTACCAGACAACTTTTAGAAGAGTTAACTGAACTGCCAGTTATGGTCGAGCTGGCTTCTGATTTCTTAGACAGAAACACACCAGTATTCAGAGATGATGTTTGTTTCTTCATTTCACAGTCAGGTATAGCGTAAATAATTTCTTTGACAATTTACGCGAAAAGATATCGTTCATCCTTTATTATTTGTCTTATAGGTGAAACAGCAGACACGCTAATGGCTTTACGTTATTGTAAAGGTCGTGGAGCCTTAATTGTTGGTATTACTAATACTGTAGGTAGTAGCATTTGTCGTGAATCACACTGTGGTGTTCACATCAATGCTGGTCCTGAGATTGGTGTTGCCAGTACAAAGGCTTATACCTCTCAGTTCATTTCTCTTGTAATGTTTGCTTTAGTCATGAGTGAGGACAGAATCTCCCTTGGTAATAGGCGTCAGGAGGTACTATTAGTTTTCAAATCAACTGTTTTAATCAATTTTAAATATATTGTAACATGTAATTTTTTTATATCATAGATTATTGAAGGATTGAAGAATTTGGATAATCTCATTCGACATGTTCTTCAACTTGATGAGAAAGTTAAGGAATTAGCTAAGTCTCTGTTTCAACACAAGTCTTTGTTAATCATGGGTAGGGGATACAATTTTGCTACGTGTATGGAGGGAGCTTTGGTATGTTATAAATTTTAAACATATTTTTTAAGCTAATTTTTAAATTTTCTTATCGAGATTTGTTACTCTGTTGTTTACAGAAAGTTAAAGAATTGACGTATATGCATAGTGAAGGTATCATGGCAGGTGAACTGAAACATGGTCCATTGGCGCTTGTAGATGATTCAATGCCCGTGATAATGATCGTTATGAGGGACCCGGTTTACGTGGTAAGTAGAATTTTTAATAAATTTACCTTCTCTTTGCAATTAATCATTTTAGTAACATCATTTTTAATTATTTTCAGAAATGCATGAATGCTCTACAACAAGTTACAGCACGAGGTGGTAAGCCGATCGTTATCTGCGAAGAAGAAGATGAAGAAACGAAAATGTTTGCAGATAAAGTTCTCGAAGTGCCTAAAACAGTGGATTGCCTCCAAGGAATTCTTACAGTTATTCCAATGCAACTTCTATCTTTCCATATTGCGGTTCTTCGCGGGTGTAATGTCGATTGTCCGAGAAATCTGGCAAAATCGGTCACGGTCGAATAAAAAGATAATTACAAACATCAGGTACCTATTTCGAATACTGCATTTTATGTACAGTTGTTAATTTTGAGTTTCAATCTAATGAAACATTTGAAGTTGGAAGTTTCAATTTACTAAAAATAACTTTATTGCAATTATATTTCTTGACTATGAAAGATAAGAATACTTTTCGACGAAGAATGGTTTACAGATAAAAAATAATTTAAAGATAAAGAATGATTTTCGAAATATGCCGTGACATGCTCATGATAAGGTGATATTGTCATCGAATTTGTCTAATGTGTTTTTAAATATTTCGTAATTATAAGTTCTTATGCTCGTAAGCGTATTAAAAAATATTTAGGGTTAGTCATTTGGACCATCGTTAGTCTTTATATTTAATCGTACAATAGGACATGAGTACTTTCCGATAAAACTCAACGAAGACGTTCCTTATTTAGGACTATATTAATCAAGTTCCAGAAATGATTCCAGTGCATTTAATGGTTGTGTATATTCATATCAATTCATAAGAAACGAAAGAAAGAGAACATAATGCTTTTCAGATTACAGATTAATTGTGATTCAACTCCATGTAATCAAGTTGAATAAGACTGCGATAGAAAAAAGATATTGTTACTGTACTGTGAACTTGTGTTTTACGAGGTGTACATGTGGTTATCCTGAAAAGTGTTTATATGTGTGTGCATGTGGATGTGTGTATCTCGTAAATCTCAATTGAGTTGAAAAAAGCTACCGCAATGGACGTAGAAAATTAGATAATTGACAAAAATGATAATTTATGGATATGATAATTGCCATGATTTTTATTTCATCGTGAAATAAATGTTTATTCATGGCGTTTATTATATCTTTTCAGAAATTTGTATTTTGTACAGTATTTAAGAGAGGAGTAGATATGGAATTTCATATTTTCCCTTCAATTTTGCTATGAAAGGTATATTAAAAACTTGTATGCGAATTTTGTTACTGATACGGTATATTCGTATTCGAGTTTTAGAAAAATTGTATAAATACGGACATTATCTACAAAACGATTTTTAAGATTCATACAATAGAACATCTTCGTCTTATATCTTAGTAATAACTTAATGTTGACATATTACTTATGATTTTTTCAGAGAAATGAACTAGTACGTATCCAAGTTTTATATTTCATTTAGATCGAGATCAGGAATTTCGTAATATTTATCCCGAGATGTGACTTCTTGTTTGTTGCACTTGTGAATCTACTATGGTTTGCTTGGGGATGCACCTCATAAAATACTTGGTTAAATTATTCTAGATGGAATAATTGTTCGAACAAGCTTTTGTAATTGTTTCTTTAACAAATGATCGGCCTTCTAATTTGAAGTTTTTATCTTTTCTGTGTAGTATGCCTACTTGGTTATCATAGCAAAATACAAGGTTTTTTAATTCACTTATTTTGATCTCAGCCTCGTTCTTTCCTGTCAAAAACCTTTCTATTATTCAACTTGGAGGAAGTTTCGAGTCCAGTTTTAACTTAGGTTTATTGTATGTATTTGCAAAGACATAATAATCTTAAGGGTGGTATTTTATAACTTGTGTACAATAGATGAATTTTTTAAGTCAGTTGTATCTGAACTATAATTGTAGTGGAATATATTATCAAGAATTACTACATCCCAAATATAGCTTTTATATATTCCTCCTTACAGTTTCTTAGTGGATAGTATATTTTTTTTAAAGTAATTTATAAACAATTAATTGGTCGGATAATTTTTCAATAGAGAACACATTTTGTTCTTTTATTATGCATTCATAAATCCAGTCTGTACCAAAAATGGCAATGAATATTTCAGTTGAAAAAAATGTTGATAATTAATCTTTTACCATCGTGTTCTTTAATTTTTATATTTGTTTATTAAAATTCTTGGTTAAGACTTAAAATTCAACATTAATCCTTATCTGTGTCAAAGCCTTTTCATGTTTGCAAGTTTGGATTACCTCAAGGTCATTTCAAAGATATATGCTGAACTCGTTTCCTTCCGTACTTTCATAATATCAAAATAAAAATATAACATTTCATAAAAAATAGACACAAATCGAATTGGAATAAGCTTGAAAAAATAAAAATAAAAGTTTTGTTTTATCACAGTAACAATCCACATAAAAAATGATGATAAAAGTTTTTGTACATTTTTGTCGTATCGTTTACCGTTTAGAAGTTATTTGAAACGGCACTTAACGTAGGGCACCCTATACATAGCTCCTGTAAACTTACTTTTCACCCTTGTCATTGCTCAGCAATTTTCTTTCCAAAGCCGTTGCTGGTCTAAGCTATCATCGTATAACTAGAACTCGCATTCCAAGTAGTCAATATTAAGTTGTAACGGATCTGTGTTAGCCCCAACACTGTGGAGTGTTGTAAACAGAAAAGTTGCCATTTATAATATTTCCCATCAAGTCACGTGTAATATCTTCTGCGATATATAACCTGATAAAATATATATATATAAATATAGTGAAAAATTGAATATTTAACAGTACCGATATGTAATACGATTTTAATACGTCGCGGCCATATATAACTAGAATTCGCATATGATGTACAAGCTTGGACGTCTTTTAATTTCTCGAGATCTATGCTCGGTGTATCGTTCTAATTGGACGTGCGCCAAAAAGCCGATCGAAGTGATACCGAAGCTCCGTTCGGACAGCGTATGCGCCAGTAGTAAATCTCGTGTTTATGTCGGACATGCGGAATCGAGTCAGTGCGCGGTATCCCGTCTAACCAGCGACGGTACGCAACTGCTTTCGGTGGTCGTTCGTATGGCGAAAAGGTAGAAAAAAGCGGTGGCAACTCGGTCGTTCGATATCAGGAAAAACGATCAGTTTCGTACGCACGAGTCAACTCGTACGGTTCGTGTTTATCGCGTGGAAAAAGAGATATTCGATCGACGATTGTTCGCGACATAAAGGAACGCGAGCGAAAATACGCTGCCACACGGTCGCGCGACGGTCGTTGCGTTGACGAGAGGTAAAAAAGAAAATAACGGAATAGAAAGTAAATTGTACCGTGAAGCGTGATCCTGAAAAGTTATCCGCGTGGTCGAGCATAATTCCAGGTGCTAAATTTAAATGTGTTGCCCCGATCCCCTTGGGTTATTTCGCCTAGGTTGGCTGCGCTCGAACGGCTCGCTAGCGAAGCTCTATCAGCCCTGCCGGCAGTGGTATCGCTGTTGACCGTCGTTACCAGGTATATACGTGGTCGCCATTGCCGGCGGTAGCGACACTGTGAACACCGCCTGCGCCATCGCGAGCTACCACCACTACGCGAGTCAGTCGACGGTCTGCCGGCGAGCAGTGCGGACGCGTCGTGCAAGGATTCAGTTGTCGTTGCCCGCAAATATTTGCTGGCACGACCGCGATTTGCCCCACCGTCGGTGCCACGGTAACGCACGGCTCCCGCGGACAGAACCACCTCCCCTCTGCCCGGCCCGACGACCCTCCCACCCGACGGTTACCCGGTGTTCTACCAGCGCCGCGGCGGTTCCCCTCTATTGATCGAATTTGACCTGCGAAGTTTCCCCTAGCGTGTGCGGTAGTGGCGGCCGGCAGTGGCTCTCGCGCTTACGTTCCTCGGTTAGTGCGGTAAATAATCGCGATACCTCGGCATGGCTACTCCGACCACTTGCACGCGGTTTAGTGACAACTACGACCTCAAAGAGGAACTGGGAAAGTAAGTAAAAACATAACATTCGTGATATTCGCGAGTAACGAACGACGGTTGAAGCGAGGAGAGAGACAGAGAATGAGAGATCGGTTTAACATTACCGCGTGTCACGACATTTGCTCGTTTCTCTACCTTTGTGTATACACACTTCGTGCCTCCCTGTCTCTCTCGTCTCTTCTGTCTCGCTCTTCTTCTTAGTCGTGTATTTCTATTTTCTGCCGTGGTGTTTTTATTACACGCGAGCTCGTGTCACGAGCGTTTCGTATGTCGTGGTGTATCTCGTGTCACCGATTAGCTGGTTCCTGGTACCGTTCGTCGTGTCGTAGATGGACATGCGAGTGACGATCCGTTCGGAGCGCGATTCTCGTAGCAGACGACGCCGTGTCGTCGGCCATGATTATTCTCTACGTATGCAGAGCCTCTTTCTTCTCTCGCTTTTTCCCACTCCCACTGTTGGTTATTCGTTTATCCTTCTCTTTCTCTCCGTCTTTCTCAGCCGCGGATCTCGTCGCTTCGTTCCGTATACGCGTCTGTGTTCCTTGCTCGCACGCGGGAGACACCCCGTTGCATTTCGTCTATATTTAAGCAGCACGGCCTGTCTGCTCGTGGCTCAGGCTCTATATATAAAGCGTCAGGGCGCTTGCTATCGTGCCTTGTGCCGTCGTGGTGGTCTCACCGTCGAAAACGAGGCATCCGCATCGTACGCGGATCTGTCACCAAATCAATACGATGTCGTCGCGCCGCTTTTTACCTTCATCCCCCTCCTTCGACCTCTTTCTCGCACTCTTGCTCCCTTTCTCTCTACCTTTCCTTCGCTATCTTTCTGTCTCTCTCTCTCTCCCTCTCTTTCCTTCCTTTCGTTGTCTCTGCTCTTCTTTTCTCTTTCGCCGGTATGCCCTTATTCGATCGACTGCTTTCTTTTTATCGTTCCGTGACATTCTCTCGTGCTCGTCTCGGTGATGGCAGGTGGTTGCAGTCTTGCACGACGTAGCCCCTAAAAGTCACTAGATCTTCCTAGCACTTTGTTTTCCTTCTCTTCGATCGTTTCGTCTCGCGATACAGTTTATCTTCCGTTCGATTTTCCTTCGATTTTCGTCTCGCATATGGGACAATAGATTTTAATATCCATTTTCGTCAATTTTTACGATTCTTAATTATTTTCCTAGATATTTTTAATCGTTATTCGTAATATCGTCGTTTTACTTGACAAAAGTCGACCGTTCTCTGACGGTACACTGACGACCGTGGTACGAGTGGGAGCGTCACGCGGTTTTCTCTAGGTTAGGAGAGTTTCGACGTTCTATAGGTGTTCTTAGAAGGGCATGGGTATCGGTCTCGTGTCATCCGTGACCTCGAGTGACCTCGACTCGCAGCCGAGGAATTTTCTTTCGCCGCGAACCGTGCACACAGCGGAAGAAGGAAAATTTCTGACCACACCCCGTGTCTTTTTGGGAGAGTTCGTGCCACGGTCGATAAACACGAAGCGTAGAGCACGCGTACAGCACGCGTTACACAGTGTCACTTGCTCGACCCGTTTGGGACGCTTCGTTATTCCTTCTTTTCTCTTTAAACCGCCATATTGCCCTCGTCGTACACCGACGGTCACGTGTATCCGGGCACGAAGAAATATTTTTAATTCGTCCTTTCCTTGATGGTAAAACCTACTTAACAATTTTCATTTTTAATTCAGTTTCCTCGTTGTACACCAACGGTCACGTGTATCCGGGCATGAAGAAATATTTTTAATTCATGTTTTCCCTGGCGGTAAACTCTAGTTAACGATTTCCATTTTTAATTCTTCATCTTTATCTTTCATCTTATTTTCCCATCTTATCTTTCGATCTTATTTTTCGATCTTCTCTTTCCCCCATTTTCTCGTCGATTTGAATGCCATGACAATTCCGGGCGCTCTTGCATCGATCGTTTAATTAAGTTTCCTGAAAGTTGGTCACGCTGCAGCGTTGCGAACGGTCCCGTTTATCTGTACAAATTGCAAGGCCGCTCTCGATGGCCGTTTCTGACTCTGCGCGTTTCGTGCAGCCACGAAAACCGAGCGAATCTAATTTGAACGGCAGCACCACGGATTCGCAATTAGGGCCGGCTGATTTAGAATATTGTCCGCGCGTGTAAACACGCCCAGCCGATTCCCGTTTGTTTTCGGCGGTGTGAAAACGCGCCGCCATGTCGAGTTTCGAATAATTTTCGCGCTGCGATATCTGCGTCGCAATCGGACCACACGGGTTTCTCGCAAATTCCACAAATCGAACGAAACAGACTATATTTAAGCGGATCTCGGCGTTAGATCCAGGAGGATGTTGTTATCGGCTAGGAAACAGGAAGCGGCTCGCGATCGAGGAACTTGTTCCCAAAATGTTTCGAGTCTAACCAACACGAGGTAAAATCGAGATTCCTCCTGCCGATTTATATATATTCGCTGTGTTGGTTTGATCGAGAAACGCGTCTCGTGGATCATCAAACTCGCGCGAGAGGAAAAATGTCGGTTTATTATCGATCAGGCGATGAAGTAGTCGAGATACGTCTCGATTGTCGGGTTAACGGAACTCGGAAGGTATTAGCGATGGCTTTTGAATAGTGGAAGTGTTTCCTTTTTTCCACTTTCAACTGCTTTTTCAGCTATAACCCCATTCAGAACTACACAAGCGGCAATCTATTTCTAGAACCTCCGCGATCCCGGCATCTCGAAACTTTTCAGCTGCGAGATCCACGTCCGACTTGAGAAGTTGGACAATTGAATTGCTCGCGCATCTTCGTTGCTTAGCTCGAAGCGCTTTAATCGTTAACGTAATTTGTTATAGCCTGCATTTCCCTGGGAATCATTGGTTCGTTGTTTCCATTTTTCACCGGTATTCGTTTCGAATTTAAATCGACGTTTTGAAACCGAATATACGAGCTAGCGAGTTCCTAACCTCTTTATTTCTAAAAGAAGACTATTCTTTTGGAGTTTTGGAAAGTTCATCGTAAAGATTCGAAGTTCAGTATTTGTATTTGATCGTTCGACTATTGAATCTTCCGCCTCCATTTTGTAGAATCCTGCGATGGGTAGAGATTCGAGCTGGAATTTTGAAACAGTCGCTAAGTAATCTACTTTAATCGTGTCCCATGTTGGTCATTTCCTTATTCCAAGTGAGTCTCCATTTTGTTTCAGGGTTCTCCATTTTGTCTCAGAGTTCTCCACTCGGTGAAGATTCCAATTCAATTTCGAAACAATCGCTGTTCTATCTAGACTGTTTTCGATGCCCGTGGCTTTCTTTCCCAAAGAAGTCTTTTATTTTTCAGGGTTTGCATTTAGTAAAGATTCGAGCTCCGATTCAATCGTTTCCAGCGCTGTCTTTTTCTTCTCCTAGACCAATCTCGTATCAGAGCTCTCTCTCTTCGATAAATCGGTTCGAACTCCATATTGGAAACAACCGGAAACCCAGGTCCCATTCTCTACTTCTGTTTTCACCGAAAATTCAAATTCCAACTGCAACTGCAATACATCTCTGCCTACTTCTTCTCGAGAAGCCTCAGTTTCAACCCTCACTCCGATGGACCGATTCGTCGCTAAAAATCCAACTTATAGATTCCTGTCTCCACCTAACCCAGTCACTCCTCTACACCAGCTATTTTCGCTAATTATTCGGACATCCAACTAATTTCGACTGCGGCCAGTCTGCAGAGAATCCGTGCACGTACACGTGTGCGTGCGTCCGGCATAATCAAAACATTTTCCTCGCCTTCCAGCTGAATAATTCATCGCTTCTGCCACGGTCGACGTAGCTCCGCGAGCGAACCGGTCGCCGTTTATATCATCCATCGATTTTGCATCGAATCGTTTCGTCGACGGGACAGGATGAGAGGAAAGGGGGAGGAAAGGACTTCTTTCCTCGTCGTTTCGCGATGTTCGTGCGAGAGGAGATAGGTACCCGGGTAGATTCGATTAACGAAGCGTTATTCCCTAGCTAGGGACTTGGAGAACGGGTCCGGCTGGTTCGTTCGTCGGTACTTTCGTCGGTCTTCCGGATCCTGTCTAGAGCTTTTCGTTTCGTCAGTCGCCGTCGTTAAACGATGGGGGTGTGTCTGATTAAAATGGCGTTTCCATCGAGATTGGATCATTATGGGGAAATTGACCGGTGCTTTTTGGGTTTGGTGCAAGTTTGATTTCGGGTCTGAGTGAGAAACTAGATATAGGAATGCGTTGTGTAATGCGTTGTATGGTCTGTTGGGTAACTCCCTGATATGGTGCAAGATATCGCTGAGTTGCAATTTGAATATTCCTAGGATAGTATCTATAGTGAATAATATAGTGCATATTTTATAGTACATTATACTGTATACTATTGTATACTAAATATAATAGTATACTCTCGTAGTGTATAATATATTGTATAATATCTACTATACAGTACATTGTACAGTGTTTAGTATAGCATATATATAACGTTCTAAATAAAATATTTGCAAATAATAATAATTAACGCGGCAGGATGAAAATAAACAAGTGTTGATCTTTTGACGTCGATAAAAGTCAGCATCCATCTCACCAAAAACTGCAGTACGTCTTCGCTAACTGCAGGAACAAAAAGTAACTAAATCTAGTTACTTTAAACGACTCCGGTACTTCTAGTGTGAACCCATAGGGATCTTCCGAGATCGTCCATGAGATATTTCCCCGGAAGATACAATTAAACGTCCGTTTCTCTGGCAATTCCGTGAAATTGTTCAAATTACGACTGCTCGCGATAGATTTTCGAGGTTAGGTCCATCCGACTGCTACCTCATCGAGGATTTTAAAATCGCAGAGTGATCCGAGGTTGGCCGACAGTCCCGGAAAGATTTGCTTTATTTTTTTCAACGTTTAAAAGGCGAGAGAGACTTGAGAATTTACGACGAAGCTCTCGCCCTCTCTCTTCCTCTCTTCGGTGATTTATCGCGGAGGGTGTAGAAGCGTTTCTCTGTGCGTCACGCTACAACTCTGGATATATGTGGTTTCGACGCGTGATAAA